GAAAATCTATCTCGCTCGTGAACCTCATCCTGATGAAGGAAAAATTTTCATTATTGTTCAGCACAATTAACTATTTTTTAAATATACACTTTGTTTACTTTCAATCTACTATTTCCTTGACACATCAATAAACATGACATAAGTACTGTCTACAGTTACTTTTAATACAGTATGTACTGCCACTGAAAAATCAATCATATTTTACATGTGTATATTTATATGCCAATACTACTGGATTATCTTGGAGTCTCCAAGAACACCATGAGTCTTCGCAACAAAAGCATTACTGGTCAGGATCATTTTCCACAAAAAAACCCTAACATTTCAAATGATTTTAGAAATCATGATATCATCCTGCTTATCTTATGTTTCTCGGCTTCCTTTTAGCAAGTTTAAAACTCAACTCAGTCACAATTGCTATTATTTAACCCTTTGACTCCCAAGATCTGATTGTTAATTCTCCCCTCCCCAGAAGGTGGGGGAGGGGGAGGAGGGGGGCTTCTGAAATGGACTGATATTTTAAGATTTGAAATTTTTTTTAGCAGTTGGTATCTCTGTTCCCTAACTTGAATTGAATTAGCTTCATATTGTTTTGAGAAATCTGTTTAGACAAATAACTATCAAATACTGAAATATTTATTATCATACCACAATAACATGAGTGATAAATGAAAGTGAATTATCTCCAGACATCAAAGTCCGTAACAGCACTCCAGTTGTACAGTATGTTAACAATGTTTTTGGAGATATTCTGCAAGATAATCAAGTGTACAAAAGATGACACATGTTACCATTGGTTATTCACATTAGACAAAAAATGAGAGTTCCTTACACATTAAATCAAACAATAAGACTAGTTAAGCTACAAAAATCATACTGAAGAGACAAAATTTCCATGTGCAAATCTTGCAGAGTCTTTAAGAATACAATTAAGTAGCTAAACAAAACAAACCAAAAAAGAACTGGAACAACCATGATAACTTAGTGCTGACCCCACCAAATAGAACTGATATGTTTGTTGGCTTTATATCTTTCATTGTTGATAAGAAGTATACAATCCTTCACAGTGTCTCTCTCTACTTTATGGTTAGAAGGGTATTGATAACCAATAGGGGTAACTTTCATGTAGCATGTTACTTAAAGTGTACATCATACTTTTCAATTTGAAATGCCTTAAATTATATGTGATACATGTTCAGATTACCTATTATCCAGCCTAATTTGGTAACCAACAGTCTGTCCAAGTCTTTCTCCTCTTTCAGTAGCAACTCTTTCACTCACTGATAAAGCTGATATACGTCGAGGTTGAGTGCAAACCACTCGGCAAGGAGTTGAGTTAGCATAAGCCTCCTCCAGTACAAATTGCGGAACCTAAATGTTTTGAGGAGAAAAAATAAAATAATGAATAAGGATGATACTGAATATTTTCAATGTTTCCAAAGTGATTTTATTTTAGGAAAATAAGCATTGTTCTCCCTTCAACTTCAACTGGTTCTTAATTGTTAAATTTAAGTTCATTACCTGAGTTGTTTTTCCTGAACCTGTTTCACCAGATATAAGAACAACCTGGATGGACAATTCATAAGAGACAAAATTATCAATTAACAAGTATGACAATGCATAAACTTTTGGAGACAGCATTGATATAAAGCTGTTTCGAGATTGTTATTAAAAGCATAAAAGTGTGTGTGACAACCCCAAACATACGATGGGTAATTTTCAGGTCACAGTTCTGAATTTCAGGGAAATCTTGGAAAGCGTCATTGTAAGGACAAGGCAACGTATATTTAATAATTACATTTATTTATTTGATTTCTTAAAATTCATGGATTATAAGATACCCAAATTACTTTTTGAGATGGTCACATGAACTTTTCTCCTTTTTCCCCATAACCTTTCTTGAAACAGCTGGATTAAAAAAAGTTGTTTATTCAGCAGTTCCTTAATTGAAAGCAAACAATTTTAGTTCAAGTGCACCAGATGTTCATAACAATTTTGTAACTTTAAGACTTCACCTGGTTCTCAGAAATAAGCTTCATGATCTGTTCCCTCTGCTCATAAATTGGTAAAGACTTGCGAAATGAAAAGAAATCATTCTCTTTCACAACTGGTGGGACTGCAGGAGTGTTGTTGTTAAGCCTACCAACAACTCTACTTTCTCTTCCACCACGTCCTTTTCGAAAAAAATATGCATTACATACAAAATATCCATTTAAATAAAAATAAATAAAAAGTATATGTAACAACTCCTAATAACACTTTACACACTGATTTAAATTAAAATTGCTAAATAAATAAAATAATGGCAAAATAAAACAGCCATAAGTACATAGAAAAGTACTTTTAAAATTTGGCCAAACCAAAGATTAATTTAAAAAATTATATCAAAATGATGAATCATGTAGTTTTTCAAGGGTACAGGATGATTTTTCCCTTTTTTTGAAATAAGTTTGATTATTTCATATTTTCTGTTGTTTATGAACTATGGAAACATACCTAGGTACATGTACCTTGATACAGAAGACAACATTGAGCCAAATCAAAATAATTATGGTTTGACTCTTTTACTCCAATGATCTCATTAGAAAATCTCCTTACTGTCTGTGATATAATACTTATAATGTTACTTTGGAGAATTTGGAATTGGATCGACATATTGTCTCTTAGTTAATATTTTTCTTTATTTTCATCCCTTGCCTGATTCATATTGTATTGATATTGCAAGGAGAAATTCTGTCTTGGTCATTCATGGGAGTTGAAGTGTTAAAACTCATTTTGATACTACAAATGAAAGATTATAAATCCAGTGAACACATTTGAGGAAGAATTTCAGTCTACCATATATGTCTTATCAGATTGCTTAAAATGAAGGAAACCTTTTCTTTTTAGAGTATAAAACAAAAACCTATTACTACTGAGTAAATCCTTGGCAAATAGAAACTACACACCTGTCTCAAAGGTAACTGTTGACCTTTCTGTCTTGGGCTGGAGCTCTTGCCTTTCTTTGATGTTCAAAGGAAATTTCTTCAGTAAATGTTCAATATGGTGTGAAGCATTGCTGGTGAGATTCAAAACAGTGCTACAGGTTCCAGCACTAACAGTTTTCTTAGAGACTGTTAGAAATCTATTACTTCCATTCCTGCAAAGTAATGAAAATATAAAGGAAATGAAACATACCAATTTCAGCTTACTAAGAAAAGGTGTTTGTCAACTATGTAAGTATTTAATGCCCAATATGCCACCATGAATACATAAGAGAATTTGATGTATTTGAAAATCGTTGCTTGAAAAATGAGAAAATCAGAAGAGAGAGTTGCACTTTAATTCAGCAAAAATCCATCCAAGAAGAGGGGCAAACAAGACCACTTGTATGAAAATTTACCTTTAAATATTGAACCCTTAGAGTGTCTGGCACATAATTCCTCCTTACAGTGTAATCCCAAATGTCAGTCGTTTTGCAGTATTCTAAATCAAATGGTTAAACCCAGGTTGACATGTAAATGTTTATAACCGACTTCTAGACATTTGCGAACTGACTTCTAAACGTTTGCGAACTGACTTCTACATGTTTGCGAACTGACCAGCGATGTTTGTGAAACTATCATTGGCGAAACGATTGGTTACTGTCACATCTGAATAACACATTAGGTTCAGAAGAATAGAGGAAATGAACTTCAAGTAAACAAGATCTTGATTGTTAAGCAAAATCTCCCTGTCACCACCTTAGGAAATGTATAATGAAGAAGTGTGGAGAATATACATATTGATGTTCGGGTGTAAAGGGTAATATTATCATACTCATTGTCATTAATATAAATCATAACACAGAGCTGCAACGAAGATAAACAATCCACATCTTACCCTTTGCTTTTTGATTTTAATCCTAAGTTCTGACATAATCTGTGTACATAGGCTCTTTCCACAGATGTAAATGATGAAGGAAATTCTAGAACTATATAAAGATAACAAATCACCTCATGAAAATTCAACCTTTTCAGACACTTGTCCCTAACAAAAAGCACTGACTATACATTCTGAATTTACAATGTGACGGGATAAAAAGGTATAGTTATTATATTAATAGTGATAATAAGCTAATGTTTCTGGTTTCATATGGTTGCTTACTGCTGTGAATCAAGTACAGAATGAGACCAAACTGTTGTACTGACACAAAGACACATGACTCAATAGCGCTCGGCTTTTTATTGTATAAATTTCCGCCGAAAAGCATCAGTGCATATAGACAATCCCTCATCACTGTGTCTGATTTATCTTGGCTTGTTTTCAAATTGCCAACCAATGAAACAAGTATTTAGAAATCGAGCCACGTTTCTATGATAGATCTTAAGGATAATTTTAGGGTTAGATAAAATAAGTACCTCGTCGATCTTACGGAAGGAGTACTGATGCCCCCCTCATACATAATTAAAATGTTGTTTACGCGGCGTTTCCTGTTACAAATATTAATACAGTGTCACGCATAAAAAGGAATAATGTACTAGCGCTCAAAAACGTAAAAATGCTTGAAAATTGCTCAGTTAGCTTTACAGTTGCCTGTGTAAGCTTCATCTCAATCAAACCGTTTCTCTGCAAATTATTCCAATCTGATAACAATGATATGAACACAATGTAATCATCAATTGAGTTCTGGGAGACACATCTTGATTCTAAGAAAATCCAAAGGATTACCTTTTTGTTTCTCTTCAAATCGAAATCTATCAAGGGCAATTTTCACTGCGATCTTAAACTCTTCTTTCACGCAAATTTCCCTCTGAGCCCTTTTTGTCTTAGCCGGGCCAGTGGTGGCCATCTTTGATATCTGCAGTTACATAAGATTCAATTTACATAAAGTACTTTTTCAGATTTGTACCGCTGATCTAACAGGATCAGTGTAAATTTCTGCCCGTGCGATCCCTCCCTGATGAGAAATTTGACCCACGTGGAGGACATGACGGACTGAGCAAAGAAAGATTTTCAAAGGTTTAATTTGTTTTGCGAAATCTGATCGTTGTAACCAATATAATGAAACGTAGAGCACAGGCTACAGATAACTCTTTTGGGGTTGATAATATATCGAAGAAGGTAAGAAAGGACCCGAATTAATGTATGTGAATGTAGTTGTTGTTGATGGTAAACAACAAAACAGCTGCATTCACCAGTTACAACATCACACTTGCACCACTCATTAGATTTACCATCATCTGTTTTGTCTATGAACGTCCATGGAGAAGGTGGACCTCAGTGGTTCCGAATTTTGCCGTTGATTAGCATGACAGTTGGTGGATTTCTTTGAAAGTTTACTTAAAGTACCAGGATGTGATGAGAAACATGGTTATCTGAGTGCCCGGCTTCTGCAAAAAGTAGAGCTGTAGCATGTTATGGTTGGATGAGTATATCGATCTCAGATATCAGCCAATTGGTCCATCATTTATGTAGACAACGTTCTTGACAGCTCAACTAAACTTTTCTTTGAGATACCCTTTTGGTCACTGATGCTATGATTACACATTATGTCTTAATTAGAAAGCTGTTGTTGTAAATGGAGAAGAAAACGATACAAAGACAACAAACTATAAAGACAGCCTGTACCGACCACCCACAAGCGAGGAAATCACTTCTCTCAAAGAAACTGAAAATCTTTTCAAGTCCAGTCTCTTCCGTATGCAGGTTTGTGCTTTTCATTCTAAATTTTCCCCAAGATTTGAATTAGGAAGACATCAAGTTGTAGCATTTGTCAATGTTATCATCATCCTAACCAGCTCTCATTTGAGTCATTGAATCAAATGGCCATCCAGCATCCATCCATCCAGCAGAAGAGAAAGTGAACTAGTAGTCTATTGTGACTCACAGATTCATGAGGCTTCTTGCCACTGTTTGGTGTAGTCAAGATTTTGTTTAGAAGATGTTTATGAATCCCGGTGGTTTGTGTACTGGAGTCTGCACTAAGAGGTCTGGGTTTGAAACCTGACCTGGTTATGTATTGTGTTCTTGGGCCTTCGACAGTGACTCTCTCCACCCAGGAGTATAACTTTGTAGCTGCAAATTGTTAGGGAAGCCTGAGGAAATGCTTGGGGGTAATCTTCCATCCCATTCAGGGAGGAGAGGGGGGAGGTAGGTTATACTCCTTGTTGTTTCATGCCATGGAGGCTGTGATAAGCTTTGGCTGAATCTGTCACTTTGCTCAAGCGCAGACTATCTATTTGTAGAATGGAATGATGTACATGTGCAGTGTATTCTGTGCATAAATCAATCTATATCAGCTATTGACAGTGTATTTTAATCAACTCTCTTAAAGATAACTGAACTTCTTGCTGAAGTACAACCAAAAAAAGACAGGAATAAAGCTCTTGATGAAGTCCTGCATGAACTCAATACTCTTCTGTTGTCATTACCTGATGGAGAGATGGTACACGAGGTAAGTTGTTTTGAGAAGTGACATGTCAATGCATGAGTGGTTTACTCATGAACTTCTGGTTGGTGACCAATCAGGTTAACTCCCAGGAGTGACCAAGACAGAATTTCTCCTTACAGTATCAAAATAACATTAAGCAGACATGTGATGACAATAAAGGAAAAAGGGTGATTGATTGATCCTGTTCGAAATTTTCTGAACTAACATTATAAAATTTATATGAGTGTGAATATATGAAAATCATATATAATTATGTGTACCAACAAACTGACCTGCTCCCAGTTGGCTTGTCAGCGCAGTTGGATAAAAGCACTGCACTGGAATCACAGAGGTCATGAATTCAGATTCCGTACAGGCCTAAATTTTTTTCAGACCTTATTTTCTCTACTGCTAATTATAAGATGTGTTCATTACTATGTAGAATTATATGCATTAATTAGAGAATTGTATGGCAGGTATGTAGTTTGGAAGTGAAGTACATGATTGTGTAAATCACTCTTACAAGTAGCTCATCAATATATCAAGCATTTACTGCCATGTGTGTGTTATTAGCTTACTAATTTTCTTATAGATGGAAGATCACTCATGGCTTCCCAAAGAAACCAAATTTCCTCTTCCATCCAGCCTTTCATCTGTGAAAGGAAAGTTCTGCTTTAGAAGACCAGTTAGTGTGAAAGTTGTGGGGAGTTACCTTCTTGGTACCCTAACTAAACCAAATATGAATGTGGATGTTGCTGTTGAGATGCCAAAGGTAATGTAATTTGAAACTATTTTTCTAAGCTACAGAACTAATTTTTAACTCCAATGAGTGACCACTACATAGTGCACTTTTTAATAAAATAATCTTTGTGTTTCATTTTAGGAATGCTTTCAACATAAGGACTACCTAAACCTCAGATATCATCACAAGCGAGCTTTGTACTTATCCATCATGGCATTACATTTAGTAAACAGCTCTTTATTTGAGAGTGTCCAGTTCAGTCACATGAATGGAGAAGTATTGAGGCCAATCCTGGTGCTTAAACCAGAAGGTGAGATTGCTCACATGTACATGTAGCTTGTAAAGAAGTGTTGTTGCAAGGTTTTCATTATGGTGTGAGATAAATACGGATGCTGTTGTGTATCATTAGCTATTGAATGGGTTTACATTGTCCTCTTGGCTATGTTGTTAAATAAAATCCTTCAAAGAAACAAGCAAATTTTTTTCTTTTAAGTTGGTCATAAATTATAAATAATTTCAGTCTAAATTTTTCTTTGGTTTGTAAAAGTTTCATATCAGTTCTTCCAGTTAAGATCATGGTACTCACTACTAAAAGTAAGAGATGGTATGTGAAGTGAAAAGCTAGAATTTAGGTGGTTTGAAGATCTTTAGAAACCTTACTTATGTTCTAATATGCAGTAAATACAGTCAGTATAAATAAATCGATTGTTCCTTTTTGTGTAGGTAAAGCTGGCAAACAGTTTGTCATCAGATTGCATCCCTCTTTATCAGAGGGCACATTCAAGCCTCAGAGATTTTCTCCAACCAGGAACAATGTTAGACGTCGCTGGTTCAAAGGAGAGGAGGGTGTGGCTGATGATACAGATGGTGAGATAAAACTTCTGGGTTACATATCTTAAGGGATGCTGACAAGAATTTGTTTAACAATCAAGAGCTTCCTTAGTTGGTGATCATTTCCTTTATTCTCATGACCTTAATGTGTGATTCAGGGATGTTATTGTAACGAGAAATTAGATGCTGGTCTCTATTAGGGGTCAAAGGGTGAAAACAGTGAAAGCTGTGTATAGGAGTGCTGCATTTTAGATTTTTTGACTCAACTTTCTAATTGTTTTTCCTTTTCAATATTATTTAGACACAGGGTTACCAACCTTTCATTACAATGCCTCAGTATTGTCTGACATGTTCCTGGAACGACACCTTCACCACTTGTACAAGTGCATCACAGATTTTCCTGGAATGAAAGATGCTGTGGCTCTTATCAAAGTTTGGCTGCATCAGCGGGAACTTGATAAGGTTTGGACATCTCTATCATCACTATTTACGACTATGATTTTCATTTCAGAGAGGTGCAACAAAGATTTAGCAATCAGGTTTGAAAATGAAAATTGTGCTGTTGACATGGGCAAATATGGCCCTGTTTAATTCTACTGTGACAACTTGTTGTTTGATTGCTTTTAGCAGGCTCTCATGTTTGATGGTAGGGCAAATACCATTATTGAGATTTGGTTACCACAGGAAGCAAGGAAGGTTGCCTTTGACAACACAGTAATTTCATGGCCCCAACCCAGTCACCAAACTTATTGTTATTTCTCCACACAGGGCCAGGGTGGCTGCACTGGATTTTTAGTGTCTATGTTCATCTCTCATTTACTACTTATAAAGAAAATCAACAAGCAGATGAGTTCATATCAGATTCTTAGAGTTTTCCTACAGTTCCTTGGTAAGTATTTAACAGCAAATCTCTCTCTAACTATGCATTGTGTTTTTTCATTCTTTATAGGACAAAAATATATATACTTTTTAAATAAATATTGGTCTCACTTTTTTCAGGATCAACTGATTGGACTGAAGAAGGAGTAACAATGACCAGGGAAAGCAGCGATGATACTAATGTGGTATGATAAATATTAGTGATATTAGTTATTACAGACTTGAATTGTCTGTCGAAGGAGCTTTTTATCTATTTGCTGTTTAATCCTTTGGGTATCATTTAAAATTGCCACAAGATGGAAGGATTGGATGAGATGGAAGATTTTCTTTTAAATTTAAAGTACAAATGAAAATGCAAACCTTATTCAAACAAATGAAGACAAGAGGAAAGAAAATCTGAAAAGAACAAGGAAAAGTTTATCTTTGTTTTTTTTCCAGCCATCAAAAGCAGATTTTCATGCAGGGTTTGATGTGGTGTTTGTTGACCCATCTGGTTACCTAAACCTGTGTGCAGGAATGACTGGGGCTCAGTACAAAAGAGTGAGTGAATAGTAATTATTTTTGTAAGCATATTTATAAAAATTGGAATTCATTGGTTAAACTCTCAGGCTGATGCTAAGTGGAAGTTGCTTGGTTGAAGAGAACTTTTGTTAGACTGTTACTCCTCATATATCAAGAATTTTCTTCAATCCTTTAACCCCCAAAAAAATGACTAGCCTCTAATTTTTCCTTACAGTTACAACCTTTTCATGAATATCACAAAATAACACTGGAGCTCTCTAAGGATCATGTTTAAGGAAACAGGCAACAAGGCAGTCTCTGTACAATAATGGTATTGCTAATTTAAATGAAGAGTGACTCATATGTGGCTGTTTTCATTCAATCCACAGTTACAGCATGAGGCCAGGTTATCTTTGGAATATTTGGACAGCAGTTTTATGGATGGCTTTGAGATTCTTTTTATGAAGTCTGTGCCATTTATACAAACATTTGATCAATTTCTACAGTAAGTATTCTTAATTGTAGATGTTTAGTTTTTTTATCCAAAATTCTGTTTGCTAGGGCTTTTTCTTTCTTAAGGGGCATACTGAATTTCAGATGTTTTGTAGCCCTCTGAATCTTAAGTAATGGAGAACAGGGGTGAATGTTTTAATGTCTCTGTTGCAGAATTCCAAACATTAGTTCTTTAGAAGTGGTTTGCAAGAAGGATGACCTTCTCAGTCACCTTATTGACCATCCTGGAGACTGGACCCCAGTTGTTACTGATTGGCTACTTCATCTTGTTGACAAGGGCCTAGGAAAAAGAGTAGACATGCTGTGCTTTGAGCCACAGGCTCCCTGTCAGGTACAAACTAAATAGTGATCAATATGAAGGGAGCCAGAAAGATTTTAAGTAACCCAACTATGACATAAAGTAGGCAACACTACAGGTTACAATCATTCAGAATAGGCAGTGTATTTTTCAGAGGATTTGTGAAATGTGCTGATTGCTGGCATATCTTGGTGAATTTTATGGGAATTGGAATTTTTTTCTTCTCATTTTCTGACTGTTTTAATGTAATGTGTGGAGGAAAAAAGAGCGCAATCAGTGTTAATTTTGGCTGTGTACTATTGTTGTAGCCTCAAGCTCCAACTCACTCAAATGTATGGTTTAAAAACTCTTTTTTTCCCACCCCATTAGTTCATGGCAAGTCAGCTTCTGGTCATTTAGCGCTGGGAAAAAGCTTCATTTTGTCTTACTTTTAACCAGTCGAGGAACCATTCGATCAGAAACAAACAAAAAACGCAGTGTAAAAGTGCTGATCATAAACTTGTCGTTATGTGTATATGCTTTACATAGAATGTTAAGTTCGTTCAGTTGAACCATTATAATTCGAATTAATATTTTATCACGACATGTCCATCAGTGGCCAGTTAGCAAGACTCCACCCGACAAAAGTCAGAAGGCTTTGACCCTGGGTTTGCTGTTGAACTCTGATCACTCTGATGTCGTGCTTGACACAGGACCCCCAGCCGACAGCGCAGAGGTTAGTGATCGTCATTGTTTTCCTTTTCTTTCACAAACATCCCAAAAGCTCAACACACTAAATCTGAAAAACCATTAGGTTTGTCTTTTATAAAGTTCCTTTGAATCATTCCAAGTCATTCAGTACAGCACTATAAACCTACGCGAGTGACAAACAAGATTATGCTTTTTTTTTTCCCCAGGCGATATCTTTTCGATCATTTTGGGGTGAGAAGTCTGAGTTGCGCCGATTTAAAGATGGATCAATCCTGGAGGCGGTGTTATGGCCGTGCAACAGTATAGCAGAAAAACGAACTATCTGTGAAAGAATTATCAAACACCTTCTTCAAAGGTGATGGTCACATTTTGAACTAATCTTTTGAAAAAGTTATGATTGATGCGCGTAACGTGAAGCATAATAGCTCAGATGGAGGAGCATAGTACTGTTATTGCATTAGATACAGCTCTAATCCTCTGAAACTCCAATACATTTTGTGCCCATTTAATTTCGGCTATTTTTACAACGCTTACAAGCAATAGGATATGTTGCCAGAAAAAAAGGGAGAATTAGTTCTGCTTGGGAAGTTGGAAAATAAAGAAAATTAGTGGAACTTGAGAGGTCCTCTTCACCCTCCCCTTCCCACGCTTTCCCCATTCGTATTACCCGGAAATACGTGGTTTGATTGGATCTTTTTTTTTCAGACACGGAGATGTCGACACTTCGTCGTTCACCTACGTTGCAAGTCAGCTGGACTGTGTACTTCAGACTCATGCTGAATCATCTAACGATAGAACAGGCGAGGAGGACGCACAGAGAGTGAATCAAGTTTACAACACTTTGTGTAAACAGATCCGGGCGTTGGAGCTGCCGCTCAGTGTGAGCTCGTTGCAGGGAATAAGCCCGGTGTTCAGAGGAGCAGAGGTAGTAGATCGAGGTTATTTCCAACCATTTTTGCCCATACTTCACAAAATCCGTGCGTCTGTTCGTTAGGGAGGTCTTCGTTGACAAAAATTTACGAACACTTAAAATGTATTTGATCCGAATCTTGTTGCGTCTGATTAACTATTCTCTTTTATAGCAGCTCGGCATTCCCTTTTAAACAAGTATAGATAATTTGGCGCTTTATAAACATAACACCGTCCCACTCATAGTTTTCTCTTTCCTGATCATTTTGTTAAAAAAATGTACATAACTTGTGAGGAAAAATTACTTGCTTATCTCTGGAAGGGGAAAAGTTGAAAATAAGTATATCGTTATGTTTTTTTTTCTTGTCCTTAGGTTTTTCCCCCTAGAGCTTGCTTTAAAAATAGCAAAGTGAAACCGCAACCTGGCAATGAAAACTTAGCAGACAATGTATTGCTGCCGTCTGAACTAAAGAACACCACTTGGTGTCCAGCTATGGAAGGTAATTAGTGTTTTGATCATTTCTTGTGCAAGGTGCAGGTAACTGAGATGATAACCGCATGAAAACACTCGGATGTATATGTGTTAAGGTTTCTATGCTTTGAACGCGCATATTTCACCCATGCAGCCTTCATATTTGTGTAAGAACTAACAGTGTGATGGATACCATCTCAAAGCACAGCAAAGCTAGTGAAACGAGAAACTGGTTGGCAACTCTCCCAGCAGTTTTAAAAACGAATAGGTCTTATGCTGAACTTAGAAAATTTTGATACTATTCTAGTACATTCCTGTCTGCAATTTATGAGTTTCAAATGTATTTTTCTGTTTGTGAAAATCTGCCTGAGAAGTATCATAGTAAAACAGTATTTCTCCGTTAATATTAGCAATTATCCGATTGAATCATAGTGGTTCTCTTTCTTTACAACTAAAATGAGCATAAGGAGCGGTGAGTGGAGGGGAGGGGAGGGGAGGGAAGGGGAGGGGAGAGGAGGGGAATTTAAGTTACTTTTTCGTTCGCTTGTTCGTTATACTCTGTGCTGTCAGGTCATTTTGGAAGATACGTGGAAGAATCTAAAGTCATTTCTCTCGTAGTTATCTTGCAGTTTGAGACAAGCGGTAAATGGCCGGACGACTTGACCGCCATTCAACACATCAAAGCGGCATTTCACATCAGACTTGCCGAGTTACTGAAGAGCGAATGTTCACTTGTTACTGCTGCTTCACGTCAACATGTAGACGTACTGAAGGTCGGTTGCTGTAAAAGAATTTCCTGGATATGAGTTTTAACGCTTTTTTGTACCACTTGGCTTCTGACTTCAATTCTTTGAGTATTTTATTCAAACTACAGCTACAATAACTGAAACGGGCAACATTGTAGCGTGAATCGTATTCTTGTTCTTTGTGGCTGTTATGCAGGATGGTTTTGTGTTCAGAGTCAAGATTATGCACTACCGTGAAATGGTGTTGCTTCAAAAAAGCGATATTACACAGGAGTCGAAAACGGATCACGAGAAGAAAGCTAAAGAACTGGAACGGGAAATAACACATTTGCCGCTGTTGACAAGCACTCTTCATGGGTAGGTTATAAAAAAAATAATAACGATTCTTGCAATCAATCCCGGGTCTTTAAAATGGACTGAAACTAGGATTAAGTGTGCCAAAGAAAACACGAGAACAACCTGTAACAAAATTCTTAACGGAGCATCTAAGCACTCAAAGTTCCCCCATCCTTTGCATGCACTGAGTGCTAGAGAGCTAGAGAGCTAGAGAGAAGTTGCAAGCGCGGGAAGGTATACATCTTGTTAGTGTTAAGGGCGGAAAAACAATTTAAACCGGTGACCAGCACGACAAGGCGAAAGAGACAACTTGTTTCAAGCACGGTGCAGGTGCCAAGCACGGGAAAAGTGTTCCAAATTGTTTTTGTTTTTTTTTGCTTTTTTATTTGTTTGGTTTTTTTCACAGTATTGTACTTTATAGGAATAGAGCCTTACAGTGTACGAGTTCCAGAGCTCGACATATGTAGGAATTGTACACAGTTATTCCTGAGAGGGACTGCTAGCAGTAGTGGCGACTGAGGGTTTCGAAAATCCTCGCCGAAGTCATCGTCAGAGTTGAGAGGACACGATCAAACACAAATTATCATTTTTACTTCCCACAGCATACAACAGCAGTTCAGTGGATACAGCGGAACTGTACGTTTGGCTAAACGCTGGTTGTCGGCTCAACTGTTGTTTGATCACGTGACTGAAGAATGCATTGAGCTGTTGGTAGCCTCTCTGTTTCTCTCCCCAGCCCCCTTCACTCCTCCCAGGTAAGCCGCAGTGGGCATAGACCCATGGAAATCTTCAAACGTGAGTAGATATTTACAGGAAGTTTCAGAACTATTAAGAAATATGGAACTTTCAATTTCATGTGAAAAAACTTTTGCAAGAGAATGTCAAAACCGTTTTGGTTAAACCGTTAAAAAAGTTAAAAATTTGACCAAATAAATGAAAGGAAACAAAGAGTACAGTTAAGTCTCTATTGGATCACAACTGTTGGCCCTAGAGTGTTTTGTTGTTTCTTTTCGAAAATTTCAGTGCAATATCGCATGTGATAAAGTGAGAGAATTCAAAATCTTCTTTTTCCTCAGATCTCCTCTGGTCGGATTTCTTCGATTTCTTCATCTGCTGTCCTCGACCAATTGGCAAACAACGCCCATAATTCTTAATTTCAATAACGACTTTTCTGGTGAGTCTTGAGTTTCGCAATACCAAAACCAAAGAAATCACAAAAGTCGCTCAGAACAAAGGAAATGTCACAGAGAGGCAATGAGAGCGTGAAGCAAAAACAAACAAACTGCCTGAAGAGCGGGGAAATGCAAGTGATCACGCGATCATTTCATTTGGTTCTGCATCTGATTGATTTAAAATTTGGCGCGAGTTTTCTCGACCAATCTTCAGTTATGGATAGTGAAAGAATTGCAATAGAAACATGTTGTGTCACAGCGCTGTGTCTTTATAGTTTGGATCATAGGAGTGCAGTTGAGGCTGCTCCCGTAGAAAAATTATTAAATGGGATTCCCTGCTTACAGGGAAATTTTTCACCTGACGTCACGATTACTCTTTTTCTTATCAAAGTGTGGCACCTTTCTTGCTTAATGACCGTTGATTTGTAATACTTACAATACGCAGGATAGATAAGATTAGGCCATCTTCGCCATTTGTCCCTCTTTGTTCTTCTTTGCGAGCTCGTCTTGGCCACTACGTTCACCTCGAAATCAGAAGCCTTTAGCTTGAATCCTCGCGATTTTTAGATACTTTGTCTCTTATTTCGTAGCTGAAGAATACCAGGAAATAACTTCCAAGTTTTCAAACAACAGAGCACAGCTTCCGGCGGTATTTATTTCTACTCCTAGGGATAAATTTACCTCTTTGTGGACAAAGGACAAACCTTCCAAACAGGTTCTGTTTTCATGCATTTACATGTAGCTTTTTACTACTTTAGGTGAATGATACATTGCGCTTTTAATTAAACTTTTAATTCCCACACCACAGATTGTAAATAGACTTTCCTTGCTGGCGAGGGAGTCGCAGTCGATCTTGGAACATCAAATTAAAACGTGCCCTCTTCAAACAACAGATTTCAAGGTACAATGGATTCACACTTATTGTATAATTCCGACGAAAAAACTCATCGTGTATTGTGGAGGTGCTCTGAGTACACGAAAGATTGAGCTAAATGGATTAGCAGAGATACAGCATGTGCACAATATATTGTTGACCACCCGACCCTTTGTTTGTTTGTTTGTATGTTAAATTTTTTTAGATAAGCATGTGGATCGGTTGAAAACCAATTATGTGAATATTTTTCTTTCGTTCGTTTCTCTCCTCAGCTAATCTTCCGTCCGCCATTGGATCATTATGACGTCATCATTCATCTTCACAATCGTCTCCTCTCTCGAAGAAGCCAGGCCCTTGATCGTGTGAAGCATTCAACAGAGGAACCCTCATCATCAAGTCCGTCTGTTTTACTTCCGGTCGTCAATTTTGACCCCTCGTGGTTGTATCTCGAAGAACTTAAGGTAAAAACAGATTTTTTTCTTGTAACATCAAGAGGACGTTGACTGTAGATAAGCCGAATATATCCAGATCACAGTTTAAGATGTTCATGAAATTCATTTTTTCCAGGAAGCGTTTTCAGATGTTGCGATGTTCTTTCACGATGTTTATGGTGGGAATATTGTTGGGGTTGTATGGAAGCCTCACAGCTTTGAACCAGCTCCGTTTAAGGTGCAGTCCCCTTTTATTTTGTAGGACGTTGTCCCTTCATTAATGCTGTTTTCTTTGTTAGTTATTTTATAGTCTAATCGGACTGTTATTTGGTCTCAACAGATTCTACACGCGCAGCATAAGATGCCATTAACCACTCCTCAAAAGGGTGCAAAGGTAAGTAGCGCAATGCGAAAGATAGCTTAACCCTTAAACTTCTAGAAGTGATTGACTAATAACTTCTCCCTATAATATCCATACATCATCCTGCAAACAGGTATTGAGAAAACTCCAACTTATCAGGTAGAGGTTGTTATCTTGATCTAACACTAAATTCTCATAACTGATTTACGAGGATATGTGTAGCAGCTAGAGGGGAGAATTAACGATCAGATCATTGGAGTTAAAAGGGTTAAAACATGTAGGTGTGTTTACCCTGAACACCGATGAAAAAGGGTTCATGATAGATTTAGCCATTTGTAAATTCCACTTTTCAGTGGAAGGAACAAAATATGTCGTCATGGGTGTTTTTAGCAAAGTGCGCGGCAAGATCCAATGCACTGCTCAGGTTAACCAGAACTTTAAAGTTTTAAATTTGATTTTGGTACTGCTTCACTCCTATGAGTTGAATCTTAAGCCGCAGAGCGTCGAGGGC